TTGACAAAAAAAACTAGCCCTCCCCCTTGCTTTGTTTGTCCCTCCAGCCCCCACCCCTCTGTCGCTCACGTTGTGATATTTTACGCGCTTTGACATCATTTTCGCCGACGAGTATTTGAGCCTTTTTGACGATTTAGTTCATTTTACAGATAAATTTGCGAACGTTTTATTTGTCATTTTGGCTGAACAAATTGGGGTTGTGCTGCAGGAAAATGATTACACTTGTGATCGTGACGGCTGGTAGAACGATTAGGCACATTATGCCGGCCAAGAAGTAGCCGATACGGAAGTGACCCGGGTGCTTACAGGACTTGGCGAGGAGGTAGACACCTGGAAGTTGGCTTGATGCTTACTATTAATTGCTTTCTTTAAGTATATGCATTTATATTAATTTTTGGGTATGTAGTATCGGTCTGAAAAGTCTACCTGTGATAAGACATCCAAACACGTTGCAGACGATGCATGCGATGGCCGCGATTCCGATGGCAGCGCTATTATCATCGGAGTTGCTGCTGGAATGATGGTCGTGATGGTGATGATTGCTGAGGTGATGGTGATGATGATGATGGTGGTTGTGATGGCCGTGACGGTGGTTCGATGCTGAAAGTTTCAAAATTTTTAAAAATTAATTTGTGGCTAACTGAAACTCGCACCCTTAATGCTTTAAATAGCACATCAAGTAAATTAGAGGAAAGACGACGGTATTTATATTTTATCATCCTAGATTTTAACTTACAAAACAAGTCGTTCACGATCGACCCGGCGACGATAGCGGCGGTGCCTGCTTCGCGATGCCGATCATGCCTGCACCCTGTCCGCCGATAGTCGATCCATTCTTGCTCAATTGGCATCTAAAGGTCATCCGGCTGAGAAAGAAGTATTGAAAATATTAAGAAACCGATTGTTAAAATTGATAAAGAGAGCGCTGGTTAGCATCAAGAGCATGTTGAAGCTTCTAAAAATCCCCAAGTCTTACCGTGACTGTATGCCATACTGGTTCATTAGCATTAGTCCGCGATGACGCTGCATTCGTTTCATCGAGCTGGGTGATGGCGGGCTGAAAGAGTGATTTAAGTAATGCATAAGCTTAAGCGTAATCCCAACGGACCAATCGCAGCGCAAGCAGTTGCCATTTAAAAATTCGTATGCCTTTACAGTCTAGAGATCGCCGTGGTTCCTTCTACCTGAACTTGGCCTACCTGATAGGGTGGCGGCCGGGGGTTCGGGTTTTTCTTTGGGAACCCGGGCAGATGCGGGGCGGATGCCTCGTTTTCAAAAATTTCGTTGGAATCGTGGTTTTCGGCTTCAGGGTTTACGGGATTCTGGGCTGGCGGTTCGGTCGTGGAAGCGGTATCTAAAATTCTTAGCTCATAAATTTTGATTTCGACGATTCAAAGCGTGGTTCCAAATTGTAAAAAGCGTTGACGTAGCGATTCAGAAGGCTTGACGCTAATAAGCTGCCAAATTTTTGAAGTTTTACAAAATACAAAAGTTAAGAAGTGTTCCTTCGAATTTTCCTGCGAGCTTCAAAGCACGATCATCCCCCTACGCCTCAGCAAAGCAGATTTCAAAGCTTCGACCGAAAACCCAAGCCTAGCTACTAGTCGGTATGGCTAAATCACGGAATGGAAAATCCGTGCCACAGCCATGCGGGGGCCGTGCACCCGCCACGCTCGGCCCCTGCGCCATCCCCGTGTGCGCCGGTACCGGGCCCTCTCCCTCTCCCCCAGCCGAGGGCAATCCATGCGCGGCGCGAGCATGGCAACTGCGTGGCCAGTCCGCGGCAAGTGCTCGCGCACGGCGCGTCCGTGGCTGGAGCATGGCGCGTGCACGGCAGTCTCAGGGGCCGCGCGGTCATGGCACGGATTTTCCCTTCCCTTAAGTGAAGGTACAAAAATTGGCGATAGCGGTAGCTCGTTACCAATATCCCCATAGGCTGGAGGTGCACTTGGTGTTGGCATCGGAATGAAGCGATAGAGGAATGGAAGGCGAAACTCCACACGACTGACTTGGCGCCGCCGGTTCCCAAGATAAGTACGCTTCAAATTACATCCACCCCCACTTATCAGCAGCCGAAGAACGGGGAACTGCGTCAAAATCTGGCCCTATCGTATGGTTGTGGAAATTAGATGACTAAGCCAGTGGAATCGACTCGATTCAATCGAGTCATCTGCTGGATTTCGTCAATTAGGCACTCTTTAGTCTTCATCAAATTAATATAGCTTGCAACTTTTGTGACTTTTGTTAATGTTGAATATTTATTCCTGAGAAAGGAAGAGCTGGTACGAAAGGATATGAATACTTAACGAGGTATGGCGCAAAAGCAATTGCTGTGTTTGGGGTGTCCCGTAAGAAGAAACCCATGATAACAATTTCGGATGAAAATTAGGTGTGCGTTTAGGTATAGGCTGAGGTTGTTTTTCTTGGTTTAGGCATCAGCGCGTACATCTGTCAAATGAGGTGTTGGTTCGTTTCGTCCTCTTGCCTTTGCCAGGTAGTTCTTTCTTTTCCATGCCTTTAATGTTTATCAGGCTCATCTACCACTCATCTGTTATTTTTAAAAAATTTTTGGTACGCAGCAAAATTCAAAAAAATTGAGGCGGTGATATTGTGCGCACTTTGACATAGTTCCCGACTACGTTTTTCCTTATTCTTTTTCTTTCCAGTTTATCGGTTTTCCAGGCAATTGTAAATTTTATTTTGCGATCATATTTTGTCAGTTTGACTAAAAAAAATTCGGGTTGTGTTGCAAGTAGAGGATGGCGAGGGTTATTGTGAGCGCGGGTAGAACGATCAGGCACCAGAGGCCGGCCAGGAAGTAGCCGAGACGGAATTGCCCGGAGTTTTTGCACGACTTGGCGAGGAGGTAGACGCCTGGAATTTGTTTTAATTTTTCTTTTTACCTGTTGAATTCCAAGGATTTTCTAATTCATTTTTCATTAGCACCTGTGAACAAACATCCAAAAACGTTGCAAACTATGCATGCAATGGCTGCGATTCCGACGGCAGAGCTGTCGCTCGTTCCACCGCTAGATTGCTGCTGGGGATCACGGCGTCGTGCTGAAGCTATTGATACAGGGTGGCCCAAAAAAAATATTTTTTGTACTTTCCGATCGACAAAATGCCCGAATTTTGCTTATCCCACTTGCTTACCAATCTTTTTTGCGTTAAATCGAGCAAATTTCTATCGCTTATCCTATGAAAGGGTTTTCTTCACGCCTTTGAAAAATAGCTGGGGAAAAAAGGAAAAAAAAGAAAAAGAAAAAAACACATAACTCCATTAAATTTAAATTTTTTCAAAAATATGTGACTTTAGCTTAAAAAAAAGGCGACAGTCGGGCGAAAAATTCCGCATTTCGAACAGTGCGTATCTTGTGGGACGCCTATATACAAAATCCACATCGGAAAAAGCTTCTGTTTTTAATTTGTGAAGCCTTTCGGCCAAATAAGGAAGGACTCGAAATGAAGGAACTTACTGAACAAGTCGTTCATAATCGACCCGGCAACGATAGCGGCACTGCCCGCGTCGCTACGACGACGGTGGTGCCGACTGCAACCTGATCGTCGATATTCGATCCATTCCCGCTCGATTGGCATCTAAATGTAAAATCATCACTTAGATCGAGATGGAGTTTTTAACCAACGTTAGCATTCCCGAAGATCCTTTAAAACCTGAAATATTACCGTGCGCGTGTGCCAGATCGGCCATTTATACGAGTTGAGGCTGCAGCTGTTTCGTCGACCTCAGTGATGGAAGGCTGAAAAATGAGTTCTTTACCAGTAACGCTCGGCTCGAGTTCGGATATACGTTCTCTTACCTGATATGGCGGTGGCGGAAGGTTTGGGTGTTTTGGGAACCTGGGCAGATGAGGGGCGGCGGTCTCGTTTTCGAAGATTGCGCTGGAACTGGTTGCTTCGGCTTCTTGGCTTTCGGGTTTCGAAGCTGGGGGTTCGCTGGTGGTGTTGGCTAAACAGACATAAAAAAAATCCTGACATCAAACTAACAAATAGTGCTCTGGAAAGGCTGCCAAAAAATTTAACGGAACGGTTTTCAACTTGTCAAGAGTAGCCGTAAAGCGTTGTATCATCACGAGAAGTTTAAGGAAAGTTGGCCGAAGAGATCAACCTACCAATCTCCCCGTAAGCCGGCGGCGCGCTTGGTAGTGGCATGGAGATAAAATGATGGTGGAATTAGAGGAAGCAAGCTGAAGATGCAAACGTCTGGCCGGGCGCCGCTTTTCCGAAGATAAGTACGCTTGGAATTGCCACCCACCCTCACTTATCAGCTACCGGCGAAGGCCGAAGAACGGGGAACTGCGTCAAAAGTAGGGGCTTATCCAATGGGGAAGGTTTTGGAAATAGCCTGCCTAGCAAAGACCAAACTCCGATGAATGATTGACTGATCCCTACAGGAAAGTTTCCGCCCCGTCAGGCTTATCAGCGCCATTTATCACCCATGTACTTCCTTATCTTTAGCTTTCCCGCCTTGATTGTGGGTTTTTATCGGTACGCGAAGTAGGCGGATGGGCGGGGCCGGAGGTCGGTTGCTCGCAGTTTTTCGATACTAGTTGGCAAAAACATCTGGTGTACGTCACTCAAGGGCTTTTTTCAGCAGTGTTCTTTGGATTCAACCTAACCTTTTGATGCGTGCATCGAGGCCATTAAAGCCAAAAAGAGAGGAAAGAGTCGAAAACGGTCCTCCCAAATTGTGATTGCACAACCATGACGGACACAGGGCTTTCTCTCGCTCTCTTCGCGGGTTATTTACACTGCTGTTTTTCCAACCAGCCTTTCGAAAATCGTTGCTTAATCTTGTTTTTCTATATCCGTTGGAAAAAGCGTTAATTCTACTGAATTTTCGGATTTTCATAATTTTTATAGCTTATTTTGCGTACTCTTTAGGCTTACGAGGGATGCCTTCTCGAATCCTGGACTCGCCAATAACCTGGGAAATGCTGGAGGCTGATTTTAAGAGGAAATACAAAACGGCAGCGCGAACAGGTTCAGGTCGAAGAGCCGAACTTTTTGCCGGAGGGATGGTATTGTCGAAAATATCGATTATTCTTTCTAAATGATTTTAGGGCTTCATCTCCAAAATAGCGTTGGTCCAGTTTGATTGGAGTGAAGATCGGGATCGTTTACCGGAAAGTGCTATAGTCAAGATTACGGTACAAGACCCTGATTTTGACTACACCAAACAAACGGCTCTGGGTCGGCCGAGGAAGTTGGACGAGGGTTATGTGAGTTTTGGCTATTGAAGTCTATCTTCCCTCTCTCTCTCTCTCTCTCTCTCTCTCTCTCTCTCTCTCTCTCTCTCTCTCTCCCTCTCTCTCTCCTCTCTCTCTCTCTCTCTCCCTCTCTCTCTCTCTCTCGCGCTCTCTCTCTCTCGCTCTCGGTCTCGCTCTTGTCGGCCCAAGTCCTCTTTTTAGCTTCACAATAACGAACTGTCATTCTACAACAAGGCGTCGGACCCCAGGAAAGTGCCCGCCGATCTGAAAATTCCAAAATTTTTCTGTGGACGCGCGCATGGAGCGGACAACGTTGAAGCTGGTGGCTTTAAAAAGACGGAAAAGTAGCAAATTTTAGGCTACATAGCTCTCGAGCATATTAAAGAAACCGTTGGCCGCCATTTCTACGATAACGTCTGCCGGACCGGGGCTTTTGAGGCGCTCGAAGAGTTGGTGAAGCTCGCGGCTTTTAGTAAGCTTGTTGAAAATGGATCTTCAACCTATAGCTCATAAATTAAGTCATTATTGTAGGCCTAAATAACCCGGAGAGCCTAGTGGGCTGGCCGGACAATTCAAAGTCAATTCCGGCTAACGTTTTGGCCCGCTTTCACGATGAGGGACCGGTATGTTCGGTTGTTTTGACGAAAATCGATTTAGGGGTTGGTTAAGCTGATGCTGAGCGCAAAATTACAGTATCCAGAGCTGGCTGATGAAATGGATTTGATGATCCAATGGATACCCCGATTTTTTGATGATTTTGCGAATTTCACAGAGCTCAGGAACAGCACTTGTAAGCGCCAAAATTTAGTGGCCGATAGAGCTTTAGAAGCTTGCTATGTAAAATGTAGACATTTGAGGTTTTAATTAGTTACTTTAGGTCCGGCCCCAATTTTGTGCCAGGGCGACATATGGAACCCGAATATTTTATGGAAACTGGATGGAAACGGGGCCTACCACGTTGATAAAGTGATCGATTGGCAGGTAATTGCTCTCTATCTCTCTCTCTCTCTCTCACTCTTTCTCTCTCTCTCTCCCTCTCTCTCCTTAAAGCCAACGTTTTCAGTACGTTCACGTCGGATCAGCCGTCGAAGATTTGATACTTTTCCTACACGCTGGGACCTCGGCAGAGGATATCGAGGAAAAGTGGGTCTTGTGTATTTTTTAATTGGGTATGCTCGTGTATCTGATTATTCAATTAAATAAGCTTTTTTATTACAGTCTGTTTGTATATCTCAATTATTACTACAACGAATTGGCCTCAAGATTGAACCCTGGCGCCGTAATGCCGTGGAATTCTGTCCAAGAGGTAGGTAGTTGGATTTTTTTTCGACGATCGGCGTTTAGTTATTGAAACAATATGAAATTGCGTATATTTATATGACAATGCTACTACTTCCAATAACGATAAAAATGTTGAAGCTTGACGATCTGGCAGAGGGTAAGGAGTATATGCAGGTGGCGGAAATATCCATGTTTTTAGGCAAGGAAAAAGCGCAAAGGACGCTCGATGCGAAAATTGGAAAACAGGCAAAGGATACTGCTCGGTTTTTGAAAAGGCATTTTATGGAATAAATATTATAATTTTGTTCTTATCGTGAGACAGAGCGAGAGAGAGAGAGAGAGAGAGAGAGAGAGAGAGAGAGAGAAGGAAGGAAATCTGGATTATCACACCAATCCGTTTCACCATTTCACCCCCAGGGATCTCCACCGTCAATAAGTTCTGCGTCGGCGTGTTTTTCGCGCTCTTCCCTCCTCTCCTAAGCTAACGATCTCATCTGGGCAAATGCCGGCCGCTACGGTCGAAACGCCTAGCGGGAAGGCACGAGTCGACTAAAGCGGATCATTTTTCCCTTGCGGATTAGCAGCAGCCTATGACAATGCAGATGATCTCAAATTCGGGCCTCACCTTCTTTTTTGCTACTGTGGTTTTTGGAACGTCTTTTGGATGTTTGCGTACTGGGACCCAGGATGTTATTGATGGTTTGCTATAGAAAAACCCGCTTTTATCCGATTTTCAATAGCTTGCACTCGTTGCGACCCGGGCAAGCTGCAAATGCCGGCGCCGAGCACGTTGTGGACGGCTTTCACCAATGGTAGGTTTGTTGATCTGTTGTTTGATAGATGGGCTACGGTAGCACTACGATGACTTAAATAAGACCATGCGATCCTTTGTTTTTCGAATCCTGGATTTTAAGTGTGTTTCGACTCGTTATCTGGTCCTGGTAACGCAATGTTGCGACCTAAGTTTTTCAGCTTTAGCTGAAAAAAGCTTGCTAAAAATGACCGGAAATGGTTTGCAGATGCGGAATTATATTTTAGTGAAAACCGGGACCGCTGACGGCTGCTCGACGCTGACGTTGACTTGTAAGCCGGCTGACGGGAATCCACCATTTGTCGTGGTGAGAGAGAGAGATAGATAGATAGAGAGAGAGACGAGAGAGAGAGAGAGAGAGAGAGAGAGAGAGAGAGAGAGAGAGGAGGCAGCGAGACATAGAGCTCAAAAATAGAACAATTTCATGCCACAATTCCAGCTCGACACCCCCCTAGGAGGACTTGGTGGTCCCGTTGGCACGCTTCCGCTCGTGTGCAATGCCGCTGGCAAAAGCTGGGCAATCGAAAACGAGCCCGGGGTGTTCATCGACGTCGCCGGGGTGGGCTGTACGAGTACAGTGTGTGCGGAGAACCCAGAGGGTTGTCTCTAACTTATCAGCATTGTCTTCTTTCAAATAAATATTCATTGAATTGTCGATAGAAATACAAATACTTTATAACACAACGAGAATAGTTTACCCGTTCTGATGGGCTATAATTATAATGGGGATCACCAATAATGCGATACACATCAGGATCAGGAAGGTCCAGAAAATTTTTGCTCGTCTTGTCAGCCGTTCTCGGGGCTCGTGTGCTTGGTAGGGGCAAGAGTCGTTGAATGCTAAAAATTTGGCCGTTTTTGGACTTCAAGATATTATTAACTCGGGTTAATTTAATACAAAGTATCAGATACCCAAACCTATAAATGTGGTACCTATAACTCCAACGGTTCTTGGCTCTTCTTGGCGACGGGCTTGGATAACTAAGGTGTGATTTAGGTGGGCTGGCGCGTAGTCGGGCTCTGCCTGCATTTGAGGTTGAATTTTCGCGGGCGAGAAAAGCGAGAGCGAGAGAAATAGAGAGAGAAAAAGAGAGAGAGAGAGAGAGAGAGAGAGAGAGAGAGCGAGAGAGAGAAGGGACTTACCCTCGCTAACCGCAGCTGCCTCTCAAGTCGTCTCCGTTTCGCGACTTCAATTCGCAGAGCCCGCTCGAGCAGCTTAGGATCCAGGATTTGCACCTGAACGATCGGTTTTTCGGGTACGGAATGGTGCTCTGCAAAAACACAGCAAGTTCGCTGCTTGCTCGTAAGCTCGATGAAAGCATTAGAACGAGTCATAAGTTCTGTCTGAGAATATAAGCCCAAGCCTAAGCCAAGGCCTGAGCATGAGCCTAAGCCTGAGTCTAGGGCCTAAGCCTAAGCCGAAAAAAAAACCCCCCCCCACCCCCAACCCTAAGCCTAAGCCAAGGCCGACGCATTTTTTTGTGCGGCTTGAAAATACCTACCCCATATGCCGGCGGCTGATCCTGTAGCTGCGGATATCCTAATCGCCATGTTTTCAAAATTCCAGCCCAACCCACCAATTTCGTCGTAGCCGGGCGGCGATTTGGCCATTTTCAACAGGGTTCGAAAAGTGAATTTCCGCGAAAATCCGAATCGGGCGCCGGCGTGAATTTACCGGTTCGTTCGAGTGATAGTGCTGTGGGAAAGGCGGCACGCAGCTTCTGAAGAGATAGAAACCGCGCCGCTGACGAACCTCCCCAGCTCACGGCTTCTCCCTTATCGCTGCGCCTTTTTTTTGTTGTGAACCCGAATTATGTCATGAGGACGGCAGCGGACTCCCCGTCCACCCAATAAATAAGCAGAGGCCTTGTCGGTAAATATTTGGGGCAGCTGGGCAGTACGAAAAGGCTATATGAAATTAAGCGTATTAACGGCAAGATCTGCTACCAAATTGAGGAGCTGGACAGCACTCGTGCTCTCGCAACTTTGGCCGGATTAGCAAGCTGGCGGCCGTGAAACCCGCTTAATGAAAATTAAGCGCATTAATTTACGGCTGCACTTATGCCCGAGGCTACTTTACGAACAGAGCCTAATTCTGTGAAATATATACGAGGGTACGCTGACTCTGCTACGCTACGTAACCTTATATTTGGCTACGTAGCTTTGCGTAGCGGCTCATTCTAGAAGTTATGTAATTGCCTGCCTGCCCAGTTGATTACGCAACGTTACGTTACGCTACGCTATTTTTCGGTTGCGTGCACGATATACGATATTCTTGTTTCTCGCCACGCAAAGCTACGCTCGGCTACGTTTTGACAAATTCTTATAAGGAGCAGCAACCATTATAGTAACTTGATTATGAAAAAAGTTATTTCCTTCCTTTTTCTAGAACCACAAATTTACCATAAGCTACATTCGGCTGCGTTTCAGCGAGTTTCGAACCTTTTCAGCTTTTCATGTTACGATACACAACAACGGACGGTCGAATTGTGTGCCAATGTTTCCTAACTCAATTTCCATTCCTACCGATCCTTTAGTGATTTTCAGCATTCAAAAATTGTCCAATTTCAAGCCACGAATACGGCTCTAACCTGTGATTTGTTGTTTTGTCACGGACTCTCAATATTCTGGTGTTTCAAATCGAGACTATAATTTAGCCCCCAAACGCCACAATTTATTTCGCGCTCAAATTGGTGCTTTGCGTCCCGAACGAGTGATTCTGCTCATCGCGACCGCCCAGCAGGAAGACGAGCAGGAAATTCATGCTGGAAGCGGCATAAAAATCTATTTAAATTAGATACCCGTAGATTCCATCGAGTATTAAGGGTATACATAAATTAAATATCGATGGCACCATCGAATCCGGGACGTTAATGACAAAAAATGCTATGCAAAAATTCACCACGAATGAGAGGAAGCCGAGGTTGTGGTTTAGGAAGAACTGGAAATTATTTAATTCTGTAAAAATTCTAAATAGCACACCAGAATGGCAAATTTTCGCTTGGCGCCCTCTTCGTAATAATTTTTTCGGAATAGATAAGCGTCGGAAAGTACTGTGATGATCCATAAAAATCCAGGGATGTAGTAGATTAGCATATCATGCACCAAAAAGTTTGGATTCTTACGCGTGAATGGTTCATGAAGGTAAGTACCCATGATTGGGTGAAAATAAGCGATTAATTTGAGTTCTAAAATGTTTTGTTTTACCGTAAAATTTGTCGAAAATACCCGGAGGTAAGATGCTGAAAAGCCAGGGGCAAAACGGTAGGAATATGATGAATGGGATCAGGATAATCGGCATCAAGAGAAGACGTAAAAATGGAGACTCGGGAGCGGAGGGGTGGGATTTTTGGAAGAAACGGAAAAGTTTTGATATATTTATAAAGTTTGTGAATGCATAAAATATACCTTACTTACTGTTGGAGAACTTGGGTTATGCCTACGCCTAAGCCTAAGCCTAAGCATATGCCCAAGCCTAAGCCAGCTCACCTCAAAATAGTCGTAAAAACCAATGCGAACTGCGTCGCAAATCCCAAACAAAAATGAAAGAACCCGATATTCAGATTCAACGTAATATCGAAAAAATCACGGCTAAAATCTGGTATAGCTTCAAGCTGTAGATTACCAAGCAATGCACGGAATTACGTAGAACAGTATCAGCCCAATTTTCAACAGTCTAGCTGTGTATTCCCAAAATAAGACCAGCGCCAAAGTTTTGCCGGAATTTTGCAATTTTCGGATATAATCGAGGGCTAGGCAAACTGTAGGCCCGCTAGCGGAGACGAGCTAAAAAAAATCTGCCTGAAGACATCAGAATTGCCCTTTTACCGTAAGCAAGCTCAATGCCAGCCACGTTTTATTCGAATCTTCCGAAGTCTTGAGGTTGTAATTTAATAAATTCCCAAATTCGTGAATTGTATGTGGTATATAATTGGGAGTTATATTATAGACGGAAAGATCGGGCGGGTCGTAATAGTGAGATTTCTTTTGTAGCCATTCGTCATAGTCGGTGTCGTAGTCGTTCATCATCTTTGCCGGTTTTAATGGGCTTTTCAGCAATAGATGAAATTGTTTTCAAAAGAGTGCAGAACAAGAATTCCAGTGTTTGAAGAACGATGCAGCTTGGAAAGTCACCCAGTTTTCTCCTCTATAATTACAGCTAATCTTGGGGTAGAAGGGCATGTAGTGAGCCTTTGACGATCTTTGCCCAAAACAGAGGGAGAGCGAGAGGCTTCAAAACTACTCCACCTCGCATCTGTATCCGGCTAAACAACTTGGCGCCATCCTGTTCATCTACCACGAGAAGAAGCTCAACGCCGCAAGAAAGTCGCCAACAATGTTCAATCTCTAGATGTCCGCGCTGTGTATATAACCCTTCCGTGTGCACTTTAGACAAGCCATCACGTATCGAACAACTCTTTTATTTCCTGAGAAAATCTGTATGACAGCAGTGAGATCCATTGTGTGGCCCGTGTCCGTTGCAAAATATTTGTTACCCGACCATCGAATAGTGTGTAGCACCGCAATCTGAAATTTAAGAATTACCCGAACAGAAGAAGCGACAAACAAGACCGGGGACGGCCAAAAAACGTCAACAAAACCCCCGAAAACCTCCGATCCGGCTGGGCACGCTCGGGCATCTTTTAGTGTTGTGGCCAAAATTGGCTCTTTTTTGGTGGCCCATCAATTAGCGCATAATAGGGGTATTTTTAGTGGCCATCGCGGCTCTTCTCGTGGCACCACGGCTCTTTTCAACAGTTTGCAGTTTATTTTTTGTCGTTCAAATGCCCATTTGGTAGCGGGAGGGGAGAGTGGAAATAGGAGAACATATCATATCTAGGGTACTATGATGTAACACCGACAAACAATAAACAGGGGGGACGAGTAAATTTGTGGGGAGGAAACAACAATAAAAACAATCCAAAACAGCAAAGGAAATGAGGACACGATACGCTACAAGTACACGCGGAAAGAGAGTTTTTGCAGGTCGTCGTCTCGTGGAAGTGGCGACCATGCAGCGCAGGTTGTACTTCTTCAGATCAGGCAGTGCCGGCAATCGGCTCGTCGCTGTAGTCCTGAAAAAAAAGCGATTTTGTATGCCAAGCCGCTACAAGTCACACAGAAATTTCTAGCTTGAAAAATCCACTTACCAATTCCTCCTCCTTCAGCTTGCCGTCATCTCCAGCACCATTCTCTTCCTTTAGAGGCGCCGACTGCGGGGCGAGCTTGTCCTTCAACGAGGCAATCTCAGCAATGTTGTCGTTGCGCTGAAAAAAAAAAGGATAACCAGAGCCCGAAACCAGCTACCAACCTCTTTCCGCAGGATGTCGATCTTGTTCTTGAGGTCGGAGCACAGCTTCAGCGCCTTCTTCTTGGCGTCGGGCTTGGTCTGCTTCTTTGCCAGCTCCATGGCCGCCTTCTGGCTCTTCAGATACCGGTCAATGCCCTCGGTCTGGCTCTTCTGGAGGGCCTGCAGCTTGGCGAGTTGAGTCTTCATCTGGGTTCGCTCTTGCTTCTCGGCAGCCTTCTTTCGCATCAGCTCGTCGAAATCGGCGTTGCGGAACACGGCCTGGGCACGGGTTGCCACCTGGAAAAGTAGTTTATAAAGTTTGCCGCGAAAAGTAATTGCAAAGCCAAAATAAAAAAAAATGGGGAAAATTAGGGTTTATGGTTGTCGCCTAAAAAGTGGTTTTATGGAATGGAATGTGTAAATAAAGGTCAGAAACGAGTTTAGAATCGAAAATTAGGCGGCGGCAGACACTTTTTAGTATTGAAATCGATATTTTAATTTTGCGATCTACAACCATAAACCGGGGTACGGGGGACACCGGTTTATGGTTGTAACTCGAAACTGGGGTTTTGCTATATGAAAGAAAGAGGATGAGCTGAAACGAATTAAGCTGCAAAAATAATGAGGCGGAACGACGGAAAAAGGGGCAACGGGGGTTTTGAAAGGTGGGACTTCTAGCATTGTCAGGCAAGGCGGGCCGTCGCTTCGGATGGGCTGCCGCTCCACTCTTTCGAAATCAGGGCGCCTGGGCGCTACGCGCTCCTCGGGCGCCCCGATTTCGAAACCCTGTACGAGCTCGCACCCATCCGAAGCGACTAGGCCCCGGGTGGCACGAAGCCTTATTTTTAGGCTAAAACTGGGTGTGATGAACAAACCTCCTAAGACTCCGTTCTACCCGTTTTCGGACTTTCCGCTTCATTATTTTTGCAGCTTAATTCGTTTCAGCTCATCCTCTTTCTTTTCGTATAGCAAAACCCCAGTTTCGAGTTACAACCATAAACCGGTGTCCCCCGTACCCCGGTTTATGGTTGTAGATCGCAAAATTAAAATATCGATTTCAATACCAAAAAGTGTCTGCCGCCGCCTAATTTTCAATTCTAAACTCGTTTCTGACCTTGATTTACACATTCCATTCCATAAAACCACTTTTTGGGCGACAACCATAAACCCTAATCAACCCAAAAATTGCGTACCGGTGGCTTCTTGGGAGCTTGGACTGATGACCGCGTTGCAGCGGAGGCTTCGATTTTCGCTGAAGAAGCAGATCCAGCGCCAGGCTAAAAACACATTTTCAAAAGGGATTTCAATAATGTAGACATTCTCTATATGAACAAAAAGTACCTTGTTCTCCTCGGCGGAACCGGAATCGGCAGCTGCGGGCGGGGCGTCGTTGTGCCAGAAGACCTTGATGAAGCGATTGTTGAAGATGGGATCCGGCGACTTGTAGGCGTTGTTGGCCTCGAACTTGGTGAAGAAGGTGACGAGGGCAGCCTGCGATTCTCCTTGGTATTGCACCTAAACGCAAGAAGATATTTGGGGAAAACATGAAAAGTACAAACCTGCAGATTGGCAATTTTTCCAAATTGGGCAAAGTGCGCGTTCAGCTTGTCGATCGTGTTGAGCTCGATCGGGATGTTGCGCACTTCGAGGCAGCGGCCCTGTGTGGAGACGGGCTCTTGGAATCGTCCGCCGGCACCACCACGGCCGCGTCCGCGGAGACCTCCACGACCGCCAAAGAAGCCGCGGCCGCGCCGCATCGGACCGCCGAAGCTTTGGTTGTCGCCCATTGAGTTCTGCGCCTGCTGCTGTTGTTGCTCCAGCTGAAAAAATGGATGTAAGAGGAAACAAACATCATTTTTTAAAACCGCGAAATAAGCAAAATTATTTGTAAGAGGCCGCAAAAAAAACGTCAATAATAGATTCTAACCTGTGCGATGCTGGTGGGAATGTAGGTGACCTGCGGCTGCTGGCGCCACTGTCCCGCGCCCGGCATGGCAATCGGGGGCGGTGGGTGCGAAAAGTCGATGTTGATCTGTGGATGGTCGGGATTGTAGCCTGAAATTGACAGTATTATGCCGCGATTCCAGGAAAGCCGAGAAAATTATGTAAAAATCGAAGTTGACGCAAAAAAAAAAGAGTTCCGAAAAGTTGCTCTTGCCCAACTCCGTATTTCGTATCAAGGGCCCGGCCGGGCCGACTTTCGAAAATACAAGCGTTAGATTAGGGGCATCCCATTTTTTTCCAAAACACCAAAATGCTTACCCTCCACGATTCCAGGAGGTGGCGGCTGTTGTCCGAGCGGCAAAAATCCAGGCGGCGGCACGGAGAAGTTCGGTGGCGGGCCGGTGACCGGAATCTTCAGTCCCTTGTCTCCAAGATGCTTCAAGCCGTCCACCGAATCGACGACCACCGGATCCGGGCCATGGTCATACGGGCAGCTGTTGCCGCGCATACAGAAGCCGTTTTCTGAAATAAGGAATTCGTAATAACAAATAAAACGAAAAACGAAAAATTATCGCTATAAAACGTACGGTCATAATCACGGCAACGCTTGCGACGATTCCGCTCCTCTCGCATGCGCTCGTTGCTACGCGAGCGCGACCGGGAACGAGAACGTTTTCGCGACTTTTCGGGCGAGCGACGACGCGTCGTGCGACGGTCATCACGACGCTGGCCGGCTGGTGGAGAACGGTTGCGGGTGCGCGACTCATCCTAAAAAAAACAGAATTTACAACGAAGGTTTGCTATATTTACCGGTGATGGGGCGCTTATACGTTTCCGCAGGCTTCGTCCCGCTGATTCGGATGCGGCCGGTTCGGCGGAAGTCGTTGGTTTGGGCTTTCTGAACAGATAGTTTTAGCTTGGCGAATTTTATGCTTAAAACTTTTATTTAACCGCACAATTTCAAAAATCTCAAAAGAGTCAGACAATAAAAAACTCACGACTGAGAGGCAGGTGCAGCCGACGTCGAGACAGGCTTCACCGGCCTTTCCGCTTCCACTTTAGCAGGCGCTGCGGGCACGACACGTTCGGGGGAAGGAGAAGATGGCAACATAACAACCTAAAATAGGACTGAGGTACAACACTAAATCACTAACCCTGCGCGGCGAGTGAGTTCCTCTGGCTCCGAGCGCTTGTTTTCCTTGCCGCGCCGCGGGCGATCGGAGTGTGAAGTTGAGGCGGCCGACGAGGAAGAGGTGCCAGCTTTTGGAGCCGGGGCCGCCTTGGCAGGAGCCTCGGTGGGCTTGTGGGCCGCAGCGGGTTTGGCCGGAGGTGCCGGCTTCGATTTCGGGATGTACGAGTCATTGTCAAGCACCGTGAAGAGCTTGTCAACGAAGGGGCGTGTGTCTGAAAAATTGTAGATTTCATGTAAGTTAAATTCCAACTAGATCCGTTCTGAAAGTCAGCTTAAAAACTCACGATTGTGCAAGAATACTTCCAGTTGGCCAGCACAGAATTCCTTGAGCTGTGCGGCAGTCTTATTCGGTTTCTTCAGCAAGGCGAAGATGTAGCTGACCAAGGTGGAAAGCTCGGCCTCGCATCTGAAAAGAGAGACTTAAAAAGTCGGGAACTAACAAAAGGCTTGAATTTTCATAAAGTAAAAAACCTACAAAGGCGATAGTTCCTTGTTCAGCCACGTTCTCAAGTGATCTTGATCAGCGATTGTCACCGGTCCGTCACCCATTCTGAAATGAAGGCTATAGCAATAAGGTAAATTCCTAAGAAAATGTAGGAAAGAAAAGAGAAGGTATTTCGAATATCGAGAAAGGGCAAATCGCCGTAATCTGTAAAAAGGAACATATAACAACCGCTCGGCCGATATGACAATTGGGAAATGTCACAAGGTATCAATTAAACTTAAAAGTTTGCTTGTTTTGCAAGTTTGCAAACTGGCTCATGCTAAGGAAAATTAGGGGAAGACAGGTAATAAGATGGTAAGAATTTAACGTAGCAAAACAGTAGCTATAAGAAAAACCAGCTACCACCAATCAGGAATACCTGTAAATACGTGCCAAGCTAAACATCCGCGCTATACGTATATCCTTACTGAGAAAAACCCTTATTTTTAGCGAGGGCACTACACCTCGGTGTAAAAGCAGCCATCAGAAGCGATGATGTGGCGGATCAGCGACGGCAAACGCCAAAATTCAGACAATGGAAATCGATTTGAGGGGTGCTGTTTGGGCGGCTTGGGGCTGGGTGTGTATGTGTGCGGGGCCGGAGAAGAAGGCAAAACTGGTCGGAGCGGGCAGAGGGGGCAGAGGAATCGGGCGGAGAAGCGAGAGCACAGAGAAACACAGCAAGAAAGGGCCGCACTATAGCCCTAGCAGATACGAAACGCGAAAAAAGGGTGCTAGAAAGGCCGCCGTGGAAAGAAAGAGCGTTAGGGACGTTGCGAAAATTGCCGCAACGAGACGACATGTTTGTCTCGAGCAGCTCGCCGAGTGGGTGCTGGCGTTTATCGGAGAAAACAACGAGTGTTGTGTTGTTCTACAGACCTTTTATAAACCACCAAGTGTACAAAAAATTCGTCGTTTCCGGGATTAGTTGCGGTTTACAGTCGAGGAACGCACAGCGGGAATACAGCATTTTGGTGCTTTCGCAAAAGCAAATGTCGCACGGTTCCCACGCTTACGGTAACTAAATTTCGTTTTAATTTCTAGAAAAACAGGCCTGCGAACCGTACGAACCGTGCGACATTTGCTAACTGCCCTTTTTCTCTACGATCCAATTTTTCTAATATAAAAGATGCACTGTTTCTACATTCTTTTCTATTTTCCCTAAATGGGAAACCATTGCAAAGCTTTATAAAAAATACGATAAAATATAGTTTTTTTTTCAACCTAACATAGCCGATTTTCGAACGAGATGTCACACTTCATAATGGTTTTCTAAGTTTAGAAATGTTTTTAAGCACCAGAAATATAGCTAAACTTCATCAAAAAACTACTAAAATATTTGGGTTACATAACTAGGAATATATAGATTTATCGAAAAAATTATTCGCTGCCCGCCCGCGATTTTGCAGAGGCCCCGTTTTCGGTGGCAGGTGCACTTACGGTTACGGTATGGCGCTCCGATCGATCTGGAGTAGAGAACGGCACTCTACATATCGATTCCTTCGCGAAAACTTGTTTTTCGAAGAAGAGGACCGTGGAAAGAGAAAATTTTGGGGCGTTAGGTATCGTTGGCGGGCAGGTGTTTGGAAGCGCTGCTTTAATTGCATTTGGGGCCTGATACAGCTTCATTAGTGCTGAGAAAAACAGTATAAAAAAAGGATAGAAGGTCTGCCGGAATTCGGCCTCCAAAATACACTCACCGCAGTGAGCGAAAAATGAAGACTATGCTCAGAAAGTGCTTTGGATCGGCAAACTCGATGAAAGTAGTATGCTACCTTTACGCGTAACCTTATTCGGCTTGATCAGCTAAGCAAGTAGATATCTGATACCGATGATAGCAAGCTGTTTATCCACCACAAACATGGGCAACGGGCGCGTCGCCAAATTCCGCATTCCGCAGAAGGAAGAAGACAAAGCTGGCGGGGGATGGCACACCCTCGAGAAATGGCGGGCGGTATCGAGGAGTCTTGGGATGTTCCGCTTCATCACTCTAAACGGAACACCCCGGCAGTGTTCGTTTCTTGGCATCTGTCGCTTGTGGGCTGGCTTCAGCTTACGAGCTGAAGCTCGTTTCGGTTTTCTGTCAGGGCGGTTAGAAATATTTAGTTATACGGGCGACTTTTTGCGCTTCTTTGCGCTGATAAATTAAATTAAATTGAATTGATCATGTCTGTAATTTAATCCCCATAATCTTTAAAAACAAGGATATTGTGTGCGGATAAGAGTTAAATTTCCGTCGGTAAGTCCCAGTAGTATATCGATTTGGAAAGGATTGCGAGCCACCCGAACAAAGCTTGACTATGCTATCAGATAGAACATCTACTATATATAAATTTCTAATGTCCGTACGCCCGCCGATCGACCGGGGAATTCAGCCAAATTCTGCATTCAAATTAAAAATTCAAATTGCGGGGAGGGGAGGGCCAGCGCTGAACCCCCGCGTAGCGGGGGGTCAGCGCTGTTCTATCTAGAATATTAGAGCGGCTTGTTTTTGAAAGTTAATAAAGTTTATTTTCCTTGTAAAGTGGGCGTTAAAGTTGCAAATCGTCAAAAACTGTCTCGAAAATTACCGATCCAAATCGGCGCAGGTAATTTCTTTACCAGAATATTCAAAATCATTGTTTTCGAGCTCCGTAGCTCCCGGCCAAAACCCTCAGGCAAAAATCCGTCAAGCTGTCCCTTGATTGGCCGATTGGCGTTTATTCGGGCGCGCCGAAAATCCCCCGCGGCCTCCCTGGAGCCGCATTTTTGTGGGCATGGTGTCAGCGGGATGAGATTTACAAAGGGCCCTCCGATCCGGGGGTTGTTCGGGGGGTGCAAAGTGGCCCATCTGAGGGCCCAAAGGGATGTTGTCCCATCGTGGCCACCTTGTCAAAATCGTCCCCACCCCAGGCTAGGGCCCCCACCGTTTTCCTGATAGAAGAAAGTGGGATACAGAAGAAGGACACTCCCCCTTTAGCTCGGGTCAACAATGGCCCGCTCGCACCTTTCTTCCCCGCATTCAATAAGCGGCTATTTTGACAGTGTCCTGGGTCTCGAAAATAGATTTTCGAAGATTAGTGTCTTTACGGTTAGGAGTTTTGCAAAATGATGTCTTTCCTGGATTTTGTACGACGGCTTTTCGACGATTTTGTCTACTGGCAGTTAAACAATTAGTATTTTCGTTATCGGCGATATCTAAGGAATCGAAAATCACCCGTTTTGACACCAAAAAAGGCCGCAAAGCCATTTGGATCAAGTCGAAATTTCCAAATATCAGCCGGCCTTTAGAATATTCTAAAAAAATAGAAATTTTGATGTTTTATCGGTTCTAGTTTTTCATGAAATAGTAGTTTAGTTCTAGTTTGAAAGCTTGCATTTTTCCAGTTCTGACATTTGCTGTTTTGAGATCTTTATGTATTCTAGGATTTTTTAGCTCATCTTTTGACGATCCTGAATTTTGGAGTTTGAGGCCTTTCACCGACCCTAAATTTGTTTGGTTTGAATTTTCATGATTTTGGCCGGTACAAAGCGGTGATTGGGATTTTTCCGAATTTTTTCAGATAATTTAAAAAACTAAACACAGAAAAATTTTTACAATCCCCCTTTCGCCGGGGCGCCCGTTCCTCTTGAACTCGAAGATATCCACATCGCCGATCTTCTACACCAAAAACATCACTCGCGCCAGGTCAACGATCCGGACTCGAGGCGGGAGTGAACACACATACACGCAGCGGGGGCAACGCGTCTGGTTGACAGGCGCGTAGCAGTGTCGATTCTGCGTGTGGGTCCCTGCGTGGGGTCGATACAGTTCAAGCTGGGGACCGATCGTCCGATCCCGCTAGCTAGCATTCATCCCCCCTTTCGCATTTCCCTTCCTTGGCTCTTGACGTATCCACGCGGGCTCGACACCGTTGACCCAAACCGGGGGGCCTTCCCACACCACGCACGTTAGCCTATCCCTCGACGCGATTCTCGTTATTCATTTGGCCCCGGGCCCTGTTGGCCTATTGATTTTGCGAAAAAGCGTTAGGGCTTTAATTTGTTATTTATAGCATTAATTGACGATTTATAGGGATTTTCGAGTTTTTAATTGCTCCAGCCCAAGCCTTATAGGCCTAAAACCTTGTTCGAGAATTCGGTGCTGATTCGTTAGCAGGGGGGGGGGGGGTGGTTTAAAACCTTTTTCTTATGTTAGGCACTCTATCATGGAAGAGAAGCCATTCTAACAAGATTTTACACTCTTTTTGATATGAAAAATATGTAGCCCCCCGCTTATGAACCAGAGCAACTTGTTTAAGGTTCTTTGAGAATTTTCGTAAATATCAATGTGTTTTCGAACATTTTGCGTGCGTTGTTTCTGATCCTATGATATTTTATTTCGTGCTGATCTTTCCTTTTCCGTGCAGTTTCTAACCCAGTTTTTTGGTCCGGGTCCTAAATGGACGATGCTCGAAAAGGCGGGAGACCGAAACCCATTTTATACGTATTTCGTGCACACTTCCGCTGTCCTGCTCTTCCCGCTTGAAAGGCAAAATTTATAGACATGCCTTGCTTTCCCCTTTAAAGCGCATGCTAAGTCACATTCTAGGTGTATGCCGGTAAATAAGGAAAAGTGAGCGATTCAGACGTAAATAAGCGCCCGCGTAGACTTTACCTGACTGCACAGGAAAGCCTCTAGGAAAATCAACTAAAAAAACAGCCAAAGGCCCAGACACCAGTCCCAACCCTTGTCTCAGCTATTATGGCGCAATGCCCACCCTGACTGATTCGATTCGGTCGCCAAGCAAATAGAAATCGCTTCAGAAGGGGGGCGAATCGCATGGATGGCCGGAGGGCGTGGGTGAAATCTCTCCAGGTGGACACACACGCATTCCACCACCCTCACCGCACCCTTCGGCTCACACAACCACCACAATCGACCCTTATGAGTGCGGGCTCGATTCGGGGCGGGGCAATTGGTTTCGCTTTTGCAACTATCTTTCGAGGAGGGTGAAACCGGCCCTGATAGTCTTGCCTTCTAGAAGTCCTTTGACTTGATCGCCTTCTAGTATATGATCCGAGATTTTTGGGTTTTTTTGGTCCATCGTATCGTTTTCTTTTGCTGAACCTAAAGAATTTTTGTCTCTTCTTTCCGATTTTCCTGGAGATACAGCGTCTTAAATACAGTTTTTTTCTGATTTTCAACACGATGTTCCACTAAAGCGTTATGTATTTTCACGGATTGGTGCCGGAAATACGCATTTGAACTCCTACGCCTTTTTTTGTCCTTTCCTTCGTGTTGAGGTGATTTCTAAAGTTTCGCGGCTCCCTTGCAAAAAATTACCCTTACTTTTACTTAATTCCAGAAATCTATTCTAAATCGAGAAAAACCGAAAAGGAAGCTTTCTCACGATGTCGTCACGCTGGGACGAGCTGCCGATCAGCGAGCAGGAGCAGCAGTACCTGGCCCAGACGACGATACCGTAAGTCTAAGAATTACACATGACCTAAAAATCGCAACTTTCGAAACAATAGCAACGAAATTTCCAGCCCGACCCTCCCCACCAGCTCGGTGATGCACTCAATCAGACGGAATCTCGGCTCGCTGATACGGCAAGAGATCTCAGGTTTGTTGTTAAACTGAAATAAAATTTAAATCAATTATAAAAAAATTCTGCACAAAAAAATCTACAAATCCTGGTTTTCAGATGACCAGACGATCTGTTATTATAATAATCTCCATGGGGACGGCCCGATTCCGTACCTATGCGAATTAGGGTGCTGTCCAAGCGGGTGCTGCACGCCCGAGGATCTTACCGCGTAAGTAATGAAAACTGGAGAGTCAGAAGCCGTAGCTCTTTTCGAGCAAAATTTACTACTAGCAAACAACAACAATTTCAGACAAGCCGCCGGGTACGGCTGGGCAATCGGCCTTCTCGTCGCCTTCATCCTCCTAATTCTATTCGCCATCGTCGCCCTGTTCGCCCTTTGGATGTTGAACCGGCACAAGGAGCGCATCCAAAAGCGCGAACTCCAAGCCTCGAGCGCCGAGAGTTCAGCAGCAAGCCAGGTAAGGGCCTACGTGGCGCGCGTGTTGCGCGAGTCGCTCGAAAAATCCAAGCCCCCGGTACCGAATTGACTTGTCGTAGTGCATCTACGAAACGGTATGCTCGATGCATTGAAAGGGTAAGGTGAGGGGGTTGAGATTGGTTTGGCGTGCTATATACTATCTTTTTCACCATATTCTAGTGAAAATTTAGACGAAAAATTTAAAGTTCATTTTGATGCGGTGCGTTTTCGAGAGCGACCTGTCATACACTGTCTATTTTATATAATTCCTAGTTTTTATATAATTCCATCCTTTTTAGATCAGCGGCCCAACCTCCTACTACAGTCCTGATAGCTATATCCCGCCGTTCACATACTATGAAAGCAAATACTAACCATCCCATGAACCAAACCCCCAATGATCTGCGAATCCACGATACCGATAAATGTATGATTATATGCGCA